AAGAATATTTGCTCTTGCAATCTCTAAAACTGTGAGATAATGCAAGGCAATTGAAGCAATAACCATTATTTTTTATTGTGGTTATTCGGGTCTCAACATTCRTTTGTAAGAACTTGGGGCATTCTCGAATGGAATGTTGTGTTCTACAAAGCTTACAACTTTCAATGTCTTGATGTTTTCTTGAGAAGTTGTTGCCTCTGACTGACCAAATAATTAATCTTATTTTCTTATAGTGACATGGCCCCTCATGCCAGTACGAAGCCAATTTGCAGCCGCCAAAGCAGCCCCACATTCACTGTGCGTTCACTCAGCGTGACCCGTAGCATCAGCCCACTCTCGGACGAAGGAACCCTGGCAAGACGCCTTCATCGCTTTAAAGCGACCCTTTCCCCCATTCGAGAGGAGCGWGGAAATACCCATCGTACGGCCCGGCGTACTATCAGCCGTTCATCGAAACGAACACACAAGCACGTCGCCTGTGGATTGTGTAAAAAAGACCATAGACTGGTAACATGTTCAAAATTCACTSAAATGAACATAAACGAAAAGTTTGACGCAGTCAATAAATACAAGTATTGCGTCAACTGCTTGGCCAGATCGCATTCCACCCAAAACTGTACAAGTAAAAAACGATGTTCCACGTGTAATGGGGAACACCATTCAATCCTACATGGACACCCCAGGTTGTTCTGCGAAGAGCTAAAGAAAACATCGAAAAGCGAAGAAAAATTACATMCTCGTAGACAAAAAGATCTACCCACGTTACTGGCCAAGCCGACCCTTATACCAACAGTCATGATCAARGTTAAACACGATGGCAAATGGAATAAAATACGAGCCATAATTAACCCGACCCGAAAGGTGACTATAATTGCGTCAGAATTGGTTCAGAGATTGAGGTTACCGAAAACGTACCTTGACTCCCACCGTATATGCAAAGTCGTCATAGGTTCATTAACTGATTCCGACTGGCATGTCGAARTTAACTGCCTTTTGACGCACGATTTACCGACCCGACCCTATAACCGTGACTTAAGTGGCGAAATTACTAAGAAGTTCGACCACTTAGTCCTAGCCGACCCTACATTCTGGAAGAATGACAACATCATGTTGGAACTGGGAGCTGACGTCTACCCAAGAATAATGAAATCCGGATTATTCAACCCCGATAACAGCACCGTGATCGCACAAAACACCGCACTCGGTTGGACTTTGACCGGTGCTTGTGCGATTTAAACCCAAAGTATACCTCCAACCCGTTTATGATAACACTCATCAACCAATATAAAAATAGATATTAAAATGTTTTTATTCGCAGACCCTGCAAGGCGGCCGGGATGTTCATACCA